TCCCAAATCTCAGGAAGTTCCCTAAACTAATAAGACTCACAAGGTTCCTGGCCAAGGTTATAGGAACAATAGCTGTTAAACAGAGTTGGCTTTTTTTTTTTTTTCCTGAGATAGGGTTTCTCTGTGTAGCCTTGGCTGTCCTGGAACTTTCTCTATAGACAAGGCTGGACTTGAAGTCATAGAAATCAACCTGTCTCTGCCTCTCCAGTGCTGGGATTAAAGGCATGTGTCACCACCACCTAGTTTTGTTCGTTTTGTGTGTGTGTGTGTGTGTGTGTGTGTGTGTGTGTGTGTGTGTGTGTGTGTTTTGTTTTTTTTAAATGCATGAGTGCTCTGTCTGCATGTGCACCTGTCTGCCAGAAGAGGGCACCAGATCTCATTGTAGATGGCTGTGAGCCACCATGTGGTTGCAGGGAATTGAACTCAGGACCTCTGGAAGAGCAGCCAGTGCTCCTAACTGTTGCACTCTCTCTCCACACACACTTTCTTTTTTTTGTGACAGGGTTTCTCTGTGTAACCCTGGCTGTGTTGGAACTCTGCCATGCTCTTTTTTTTTTTTTTTTTTCTAAAGCGGTGTTTTGTTTAAGACCAGATCTCACTATGTAGCTGTGGCTGGCCTGAAGCTCACAGAGAACCTCCTGCCTCTGCCTTCCCAGTGCTTTATTTAAAAAATGGGGGGAGGGCTAGAGAGATGGCTCAGTAGTTGAGTATTTACTGCTATTCCAGAGGACCCAGGGTTCAATTCCCACCACTCAAATGGTTGTTCACAAGCATCTGTAACTCTAATTCCAAGGGATCTGATGCCCTCATCTGGCCTCCATGGGCATTGCACACATGTGGTACATAGACATGCAAACAAAACTCCCATACACATGAAATATTTAAAAACTAAGCTGGGCAGTGGTAGCTCATACCACCACTTTAATCCCAGCATTCAGGAGGCAGATGCAGACAGATCTCTGAATTCGAGGCCAGCCTGGTCTACAGAGTGAGTTCCAAGACAGCTAGGGTTACACAGAGAAACCCTATCTCAAAAAAAAAATTATTTTCCTTATATAAGCATTTTGCCTGTACGTATATGCATGCACTGAGTGTGTGTCTGCGACTCATGAAGAGGGCACCAGATTCTCTCTAACCAGAGTTATGGACAGTTGTGAGCTACCATGTGGGTCCTGGAAACTGAACAAGAGTTCTTTGGAACAGCAACAACTATTTTTTTTTCTTTATTTTAATTTGTAGTTTATGTATGAGTGCTCTGCATGTACACCTGCAGGCCAGAAGAGGGCATCAGATTCTATTATAGATGGCTGTGACCCACCATGTGGTTGCTGGGAATTGAACTCAGGACCTCTGAAAGCCAGTGCTCTTAACCACTGAGCCTTCTCTCTCTATCTTTCCAGGTCCTCCTTTAATTTTCAAAAAAGTCTTGTGTGTATGCAGGTGTCTGCAGAAGCCAGAAGCCAGCATGGAATCAGTTGGAGCTTGGGTTACAAGCAATTGTGAGCCTCTGGATGTACTGGGAGCCAAACCCAGGTCCTCTGGAAGAGAAGCAAGTGCTCCTAACCACTAGGCTGCCCCTCTGTCCCTTTAATGTTTTGTTACCACACCAATTCTTTTTAACCATCAAACACTCTACACACACACACACACACACACACACACCCGCTTTAGTTTTCTACTTTACCACTAATCACAACATAATTCTCCATACTTTTTTTTTTTTTTTAAGTCTGGGCAGCTCTTATGTGTAGCCTGGAGGATAACCTTGAATTCCTGATTCTCCTTCTGCCACCTGGGCTTTGTGCTTGTTTGTTTATTTGTTTGTGTGTGTTTTTTGAGACAGGGTTTCTTTGTGTAACCCTAGCTGTCCTGGAACTAGATCTGCAGACCAGGCTGCCCCCCCCCCCTGCTTCCCGAGTGCTGGCACTAAGGGCCTGTGCCACCACACTTGGCCAAGGCTTTGTGCTTGTTAAATAGGCACTCTACTAACCGAGCTACAGCCCCAGAAAGATTTTTTAAATCATTAATTTTATTTTATATGTGAATGCTTTGCCTGCATGTGTACCACATGCATGTTTGCGGCTTGACATGGTGCTCGGAACTGAACTTGGATCATCAACCGCTGAGCCATCTCTTCAGCCCTAAAGTTTACTCCTGTGTGTGTGTGTGTGTGTGTGTGTGTGTGTGTGTGTTCCTGCCGGTGCCCGGGGATGCCGGAAGAGAACTTCAGATGAATCCCTAGAGCTGGAGTTACAGATGGTTGTGAGCTGGGATGGGAATAGAACCCGGGTCCTCTGCAAGAGCACTTGCTCTTAACTGCTAAACCATCCCTCCAGTCCCCAGCTGATGGTTTTTTGAAAAGGAACTCTGGGGTGGGGCTGGCCTTGAACTCGCTGTGTAGCGGAGGAGGCTGACCTCCAGCCGCAGTTCTGGCCCCTCTCCTGAGCACCACAGGCACAGGCTGCTCTGCGCTGCTGAGCTTTCCTGTGCGGCAGCGTTGCGTTCTGAGTGTCACTGCTCAGCTGAGCACCCCAGCAGGATTTCCCAGCATTCCGCTTTGGGAACGATGGTGCCCTGCACACAGTAGGCACCACTTAAACAACCACGCTCTGAGGGCTGCAAATGGGAACTTAGGGCGCTGGAGGCTCACGCACATGAAGCAGGGGCCAAAAGACTCTCAGTGACATCCGAGAAAGATCCACTCCGAGGGTTTTCCCAGACCTCCCGTGAGGTCACCCTGCAACTCTCCCACGGTCATCCCGGGGCGGGGCCTGAGTGCCCCTTCCCCAGCCCCCCAAGATCAAAAGATCCCCGTGGAAATTCCTTAGGAATGCCCAGGCTGCGGGCGTGGGTTTGTGGAGTGTCCCAGGAGCAGCGGCCGCGGGAGGAAAAGCGCGCGCATCTCGACCTCTCCCTTCCGCATCTGCAGCACGACCTCCTGGCCCAGCGCAGGTCTCCACGACAACTGTCCGGGCGTCCCACAACAGGAAGCCCCGGGCGGGGCGCCGGAGGTCCAATTCAAGCCTCTGGGTCGCAAGACTGGGGTTCGAGAGTTCAGGGTCTGCCTCAGTTTCCCTGAAGAAAGCAAAGGTTAAAATAATCAAGCATGGTGGAGCACGAGGCAGGATCTGGAGTTCAAGGTCATCCTCAGCTACAGAGTGTTTGGAGCTAGCCTGGGCTCTTTGACACCTAGCCTCGAGGAAAGAGACGGGGAGAGAGAGAGAGAGAGAGAGAGAGAGAGAGAGAGAGAGAGAGAGAGAGAGAGAGAGAGAAGAGGAGAAGAGAAGGGGGAGAGGAAGGAGGGGGGGAAGGAGGGAGGGGAGAAAGGAGGGGGAGAGAAGACTGGGGAGGGCAGGTCCCTCCCCCCTAGACGTGCCTCTCCCCTTCAGTTTCTTTCAGTTTCTCCTCCAGCCTGGGAAGGGCGGCGCAGGGCTCCACGCGATAGGATCAGACTTCTTCCTTCTTTCTGGGGAGCTGTCAGGACGCCCCAGGGGTCAAAGTAGAAAGGGGAAGCGCGGCCGCGGGGGCGGGGCACCCGTGGGTGGGAGGAGGGACGTGAGGACTGCACGACGGCTCCCTGGCAGGCTCACCCACGCCGGATCTGTCCGGGCCTGCTTGGATTGCTACCCCGAAAATCTCTAGTGTCGACTGGGTGGGGCATGGCCCTAGGGAGAGGGGCGGCTCTGAACGGATGGCGCCCCAAATGATCCCAGGGAACTCTCTTCCTTGGCTAAGGCTTGTCTGGTGGATTAGAGAGGCCCGAAGGAGCTGGGGGTTCAGGATTTGATTTCCGACACCTGCCCCGCACCGAGCCTCAGTTTACCCCTCGAGGGGATGGCCGTTCTGGTGGCGCAGGGAACTAGGCATGAGTTAACCAATGCATAACCTGGAGGCATGACTGCAGAAGGCCCGGAGCCTTCGCTCCTGAACTCAGCTTTGGTCGCCGACACCCTCTGCCCCACACACCCTGCCCCCAGCACGTCATTGCTTCAGTTTGGAAATTCCGGGGCCACGGTGGCCAGCGAGGCAGGACCACCCTCTCGGCCAGGGCACAGTCTCCATCCGGAAATACCGAAGTCCTCGCTCCGGAGGGGAAGGCGCGGGGTTTCCGGGAAAGTGGCCCCGCCAGCACCGCCTCTCGGCCCCCCGCGGCCAGCGACTATAAAGGACCGACGCCGCGCTGCGCCCCAGTCTGCACCTAGCGCTTGTGCCCCGAGGCGCGGCCGCCTGCGCTCGCTCTGCCCGGCTTGCGATGGCTCGCACCCGCCCCAGGCCCGCGCTGCCCCTGCTCCTGGCCCTGGTCGCCGCTGTGATTCCAGGTGAGTCCGAGGTGGGGTCCCTGACTTCGGGCGGAAAGCCCTGCTCCCCGGCCCCGGAACAGCACATGGATAGTACTTAGGCGGCTGTTAACGGGAAGTGGGAGAGGAAGCGAAGGGTGGGAAACCAAGAGCCCGGAGTTCGAGTCCCGTGGATGGGTTACAGAACACAATTCTGCCCGTCCGTCCGTCTGCCTGCCCCTCTCTCTGCCTCTCTCTCTCTCTGCCCCCTCCCCCGTCTCTCTCTCGCTCTCCTCCCCTTCCCTTCTTTCCTGTTTCGAGAGTGATGCCAAGACACTTAGCCTAGGCTGGCCTTGAACTCTCAGTCCTCACGGCCCCCGCCCTTCCGAACCCTTCAGTGTGGGATCACAGGCTCGAGACACACTACTCCTCTATAAACTTGCACGTTCGGAACCTGGGCTCCTGGCCCGTGCAATGGGAACTGTGGCCACAGCCCTTGTCACGGGAGAGTCAGGATGTGGCCCAGGTGGGGAACAGATAGTGTGGGGGGCGGGCTGGTCCGAGCCGCTCCCCCGCCCCGCACAGATACCCTGTTCCTCATCCTCACCCCTGGGGAAGTCCAGGCCGCTTCTGCGCTGGGGAATTCCAGGGTTGGTGTACTCAGGAGCCAGAGGCTGAGAAGTAAGGCGACTCAGGACTCCCCACAGCCCCAGCCTAGGGGCAGGACCTGCTACCCTCCAATGGGAGGAAGATTCAGAACTTGCTCAGCAGCTCACAGGAGGCTTCTGACCTGGACTCCCAGAATCCATTACTCCTAGCTGGATCGCGTCTTTTTAGCCTCAGGGTTCTCCATGGAACCAGAATAATTCCAGAGGTGCCTGAGAGAGTCTCCAGCTGGAACACCTCCATCCCAGACCGTGAACCACAGCGCTGGAATCTTTGGGGTGGGAGAGAAAGACGAGCTCAGACACCTTTGCTGTTGTTTTAAGCTCCCCACCCCCCACGACCACCACCACCAGGGTTTCTCTGTGTAGCCCTGGCTGTCCTGGAACTCACTCGGTAGACCAGGCTGGCCTCGAACTCAGAGATCTGCCTCCTGAGTGCTGGGATTAAAGGTGTGCACCACCACACCTGGCATTAGGGGCACATTTTTTTTTATTTTATTTTTTAGGGGCACATTTAATAAATTATTTATTCTTATTTTATGTGCATTGGTATTCTGCCTGCATGTATGTCTGTGCGAGGGTGTTAGATCTTGGAGTTACACAGACAGCTGTGAGCTGCCATATGGGCGATTGGAATTGAACCCGGGTGCTCTTAACCATTGAGCCATCTCTCCAGCCCCTAGGGACACATTTTTGTTTGTTTATTTGTTTGTTTTGTTTTTTGAGACAGGGTTTCTCTGTGAAGCTTTGGAGCCTTTTCTGGATCTTGCTCTGTAGACCAGGCTGGCCTCGAACTCACAGAGATCTGCCTGCCTCTGCCTCCCGAGTGCTGGGATTAAAGGCGTGCGCCACTGCCACCATCGCCGGGCTATATATATATTAAAGAAAGAAAATCCAATACTTGGTGTTGAGGAAGGGGAACTCCTGTAACCAAGGCTACCCTTGGACTCCATATGTAGCCCAGGATGATCTTCAACTCCTGATCCTCCTGCCTCTACCTCCTGAGTGCTAGAATTGCAAGTGTGCCACTACTCCCATTCTATGGGGTGCTGAGATGGAGCTCGAGCCTCAGGCATGCTGGGCGGGCATTCTGCGCGCTCAGCCCCCCAGCCCCGCAGCAGCCACAATTTCTTATCTTGTGTACTCAAGCACGGATACCTTCTGCACTGAGGGCAGAATCCTGCCTAACTCAAAGCTGCATGACCAGCACCCAGCTCTGAAGTCACGTGGCTGATCCAGCCTATCATCTCTCCTTTGTGTCCCAGGGCCTGGTGGCGCTCAAGTATCCATCCAACTCAGTGAGACCATCCTGCCTCGGGGTGCATCCCTGCAGGTGAATTGCTCTTCCTCCTGCAGTGAGGGCCTCGACCTGGGCTTGGAGACTCAGTGGTCCAAAGTGGAGCTCCAGCATGGACCCAACTGGAAGCTGTTTGAACTGAGTGACATTGAGGAAGACAGCAATCTTATGTGCTTTGGGAACTGTGGCACTGTCCAGTCCTCAGCCTCTGCCACCATCATCTTGTACTGTGAGTGACAGGGCCGGGGCAGGGTGTAGGGAGACGCATTGGGGACATGGCAGCTGGCAACAGGAGGCAGCCTTGGAAAGTCCCACTGTCACTTAGAGACCTCTTTAAACTTCTGCCAGGAGAGTGTGCCGCAGGGATTTAGACCATTCCAGAATGCCACCATCTGATGCCTGGATTGTTCTGTTTTGTTTTGTCTTTTTTTTTGGGGGGGGGGGTTTCGAGACAGGGTTTCTCTGTAGCTTTGGAGCCTGTCCTGAACCTCTGGAATTGAAGTTACAGGTGTTTGTGAGCCACCTTGTGGCTGCTGGGAACCAAACCCCAGTCCTCTGTAATAGTACCAAGTGCTCTTAACTGCTGAGCCATCTCTCCAGCCCACATGTTTATTTATTTATTTTGTTTTTGTTTTTGGAGAGAGTTTTTTTGTGGGGTTTTTTTTTTTTTTTTTTTTGAGACAGAGTTTCTTTTCTCTCTTTCTTTCTTTTTTTTTTTTAAGACTTATTTTATTATGTATACAGTGTTCTGCCTGCATGTATGCATGCTGGTCAGAAGAGGGCACCAGATCTCATTACAGATGGATGTGAGCCACCATGTGGTTGCTGGGAATTGAACTCAAGACCTCTGGAAGAGCAGTCAGTGTTCTTAACCTCTGAGCATGAGACAGGGTTTCTCTGTGTAGTTTTGGTGCCTGTCCTGGATCTCGCTCTGTAGACCAGGCTGGCCTCGAACTCACAGAGATACACCTGGCTCTGCCTCCAGGGTGCTGGGGTTAAAGGTGTGTGGCACCACTGCCCAGCTTATTTTTTTAAGGTGTACTGTATTTGACATCTTGTTCTTTTTTTTTTTTTGTCTTTTAAAAATAATTTATTTTTATGTGCATTGGTGTATTGCATGTATGTCTGTGTGAGTATGTTGGGTCTCCTAGAACTGGAGTTACAGTTGTGAGCTGCCATGTGGATGCTGGGAACTGAACCCAGGTCCTCTGGACGAGCAGCCAGTGGTCTTAACTGCTGAGCCATCTCTCCAGACCCTGACATCTTGCTTTGTGTGTCTCTGCCTCCCAAGCACACAGATGATAGGTGTGTGCTTCCAAGCCTGGGTTCTTTACACCAGAGATATATGTGTCCTTTGACCTCCAGTCTTGGAAATCCCCCAGTGAATCCTTTCCATCTGGAATGGGTTAGGCTCTAGGGTTGTTCTGTCCCTTTGGGCTGGGGATGGAATCATCAGGGCTGGGCACTGGGCCAGTTACACACTTTGCCACTGAGCTCTACCCTCAATCTGCAGTGCAGCTGTATTTGAAGGTCAAACATTTACAAACCACTCAAAGATAGCAGACCAAGTAGATGGCGAGATGGTTTGGTTTGGACATACCGTGGAATAGTATGTGACTGTATAAAAGAATGCAGAAGCGCCTTCCTGCTCGAAGGAATGTTATACCTCAGAAGAAAATGGGTGCTGAGGAGGAGCGCTGTGACAATTTCTGTATTCGGGAGCAGTGGGGACAGAATGAGGGAGACTATATTTATACATGGAACCCAGGGCTTTGCATGCCAGGCCAGCACCAGTGACCAGCACACCTCCCAGCTCCTCTGTAATCTAGGCAGGGGCTCTTTCCCCTAGCCTCTACCGGGGAAATTCCAGGCAGAGGTTCTGCCCCGCTGGCTTTGGCATTGGAATTAGCACTGAAGAAGCAGATGACTACTGGGCACTTGGCATCATGGTTTATTTGCTGACCATGCCAGCTTTCCTCAGATCGCTCTGGTGCAGGGAACCCCAAAGGCCACCAGTCTTAGCAGTATCAGGACAAAAGCCTTCGGGAAATCTCAGTTGAGCATGTGGTTTGGAGGATGTGGGTTTATGTGCCAATGCTGCCCTGGAGGGAGGGAAGTCCCCAAGCATTCCCGGTGGCCTTAGGAAGTCCCTCTGAAGAGCTTTTCCAGGGTGCCTGATCTTGAGAAGCCAAAGGTGAAGCTGGAATTCTGTCTCTGCTGTATTTCTGTATCTGTCACTTCGGCTGTTCAACTGTGCCTTAATTTCCACTCTGTGAACGCAAGAAGCTGGAGCCAGGGTGGTGGTTGTGCACCTTTAATCCCAGTATTTGGGAGACAGAGTTCAAGGCCAGCCTGGTCTACATAGTGATTTGCAGGTCAGCCGGGGTGGGTCCACTAACAAGCAACACCCCAAAACCCCAGCTATGTGTGGGTATGTGTGGGTGTTCTTCAGTCAGAGGGAACAGCCCAGAGCAAGGCTGGGGTAGGAAACTCCCGCCTTGCTGGGAGAGAGAAGACTGCACATTGGTGAGTCAGTCAGGCAGGCGCTGTCAGGAGCTAGCACTTTCTCCCCGGGGGGGGGGGGGGGGGGGGGGGGGGGGGGGGGGGGGGGGGGGGGGGTGTGTGTGCGGTAACGCTTAAGCACTACAGAGGAACCAAGACTGCCATTTCTGGGCTCACCAAGTCGCTGCACTACGCCCCCAAGAGAACAGCAGAGGGGGGGGGGGGGGGGGGGGGGCCGGCGTGAAGGCTGTGGAACAGTCCCAGGAGCTGGAGAGCGGAAAGCTGACTTACAGCCCGGCCGCACTGCCGCTTGTGATTGCAGCATCCGAGGTGGGGAGGGCAGACAAGTATGTGAGGAATGGAGCGACAGGACTCCGTGAGAGGATTCGTGAAGCTCAGAGTCAAGAAGTCAAGTGCTCGGGGTTGGGTGTTTAGCTCAGTGGTAGAGCGCTTGCCTAGCAAGCACAAGGCCCTGGGTTCGGTCCTCAGCTCCAAAAAATAAATAAATAAATAAATGAAGTGCCATGCCTTCCCCCACGTGCCTGTGTTTTAAGACAGAGAAAGCACTCTGTGGCTGTTTGGGGGCTTAGGTTTGAAAGGACTTCAAATCCTACAAGTTGTATTTTTTTTTTTTTTTTTTGGTTTTTTCGAGACAGGGTTTCTCTGTGTAGCTTTGCGCCTTTCCTGGAGCTCACTTGGTAGCCCAGGCTGGCCTCGAACTCACATAGATCCGCCTGCCTCTGCCTCCCAAGTGCTGGGATTACAAGTTGTATTTTTTTAATCTGTATTTATTTTGTATGTGAAGAGATGGCACAGTGTGTGTGTGGATGTCAGAGGTCAACGTTTATAAGAAGATTAATTTTTGTTTTATATGTATGGATGTTTTGCCTGTAGGTAAGTCTGTACACCAAGTGCATGCCCAGTGCCTAAGGAGGCCAAAAGAGGGCGCCATATTCCCTGGGATTGTGAGCCATCATATGTTGGGTCTTCTGCAAGATCTGCTGGTGCTCTTAACCACTGAGCCACCTCTCCAGCCCTCAGAGGTCAACTTTTGGGAATCTGCTTTCTCTTCCACCATATGGATTTCTCAGATTGGGTGGCAAACCCCTTTACCTTTTGAATAATATCTCGCCCCATCCCTCTTTGAGATAATATCTGACATAGCCCAGGCTAGCCTCCTGCTTCATAGGCAGCAGAGGATAACCTTAAACTTTTGTTTGTTTTTTGGTGTTTGTTTGTTTGATATAGTGTTTCTCTGTGCAACAGCCCTGACTTACCTGGAACTTGATTTGTAGACCAGGCTGGCCTCGACCTCACGGAGATCCGCCTGCCTCTGCCTCCCGAGTGCTGGGATTAAAGGTGTGCGCCACCACCGCCAGGCTCCAGCTGTTATTCTTATTGTGTGTATGATTTATGAATGCAGACTTGTAAGCCATGTGAACATGTGGAGGTCAGAGGACAACTCTGTGGAGTTGATTCTTTTTGTCCAACTTTACACAGGATGCAGGGATTGAACTCAGGTACTCGGGCTTACCTGGCCAACACTTACCCACTGAGCCACTAGCTCATTTTAATTTAATTGAATCTTATTTTACTAGTGGGACTGGGGCTGAAACCCAGGGCCTCCTGCCTGGCAGACAAGCCCTCTAAGACTGGGCCACCACGCCCTTGGTCCTGAAGAGTCGGATCAACCTGTAGCACACCCAGGTGCTTCAATTCCTACTTAGTTGCCCAGTGTTCTGACGACAGAATTTGGAGTTATTTCCAGCTCTCAGATACTGCTTCTGGGAATGGTTATGGTCTCTGTGCAAACACTCCTGGCCTCCTCCCTAGCTTTCCCCAAAGCTCTCTGCATTCCTGGCTGCTTACGTGGTGGGGTGTGTTTTGGGGAGACCGAGGTCGTCAGACAGGTGTGGTCTGTATGCAGCGGTCCAGCTTACAGGATCCCCAACCCCCTCTCTCTCTGCAGCGTTCCCTGAGCGTGTGGAGCTGGACCCTCTGCCCGCCTGGCAGCAGGTGGGCAAGACCCTCACCCTGCGCTGCCTGGTGGAAGGTGGGGCACCGCGGAGCCAGCTCTCCGTGGTGTTCTTCCAAGGGGGGGAGGAGCTGCATGCGGAGAAACTGGGTGTGAACTCCACGAACCCCAACGAGATCACAACCAAGGTGCTGGCGAGCAGAGATAACCATGGAGCCAATTTCTCATGCCGCACAGAACTGGACCTCAGACCGCAAGGGCTGCAAGTGTTCCTGAACGTCTCCGAGGCCAGGCAGCTGCGGACTTTCGGTGAGACCCTGGGAACCAAGGTAGAGGGTGCAGGTGGGATCTTGGGAAGAAGCCAGCCCCTGCAGTAGGGGAGAGGTGCTGAGAAAATGGTGATCTTCGTAGTGGAAGTTTTGGGACTGGCGAGATGGCTCATTGGGTAAAGAAAGGGCTTGCATCCGAGCTAGAAGACAGTTCAGTTCCCAACTTCCAAAGGAGAAAACGGACTCCTGAAGGTTGTCCTTTGACCTCCACGAGTGAGTCGTGTACACGTGTATACATAAATACATTAAATGAATAGGAAGCCAAAAGGGGGTTGTGGGTGGCCATGGCTCTCACGCATGCCTGTCTTCTCTCTTAAGATCTTCCTGGGACCAGCCCAAAGCTCAACAGTTCTGACCTCCTGGAGGTGGGCACCAGGCAGAAAGTGGTCTGCTACCTGGACGGCCTGTTTCCTGCCTCTGAAGCCCAGCTACATCTGGAGCTGGGAGGCCACACACTGACCTCCAAGAGCACAAATCGCGGAGACTTGGTGTCGGCCACCGCCTTGGTGGAGGTGACTCCGGAGCTGGAGGGAACTCATCAGCTGCGCTGTGTTTTAGAGCTGGCAGACCAGAACCGGGAGGCAGAGAAGACCTTGAACATCTACAGTAAGAAGGGCAGGGCCTAGTGCACCTAGTCCAGAGATAGCGGAGGCTGGAGACTTGATTGATACCAAAGGAGGGGTACTGAAAGGGTACTGCCCAGTGTAGGGGCACAGGGGTGAGGATCCCCGGGGGCGTGGCCTACGTGTGGGGCAGCCCACGCAGAAGTCAGGACTGGCACCAGGGGCATGATTAATGCCAGTGGAGGCACATTCAAGAGAAAGAGCTGAGGCAGGGAGTAGTGATGCACGCCTTTAATCCCAGCACAGGGGTGGCAGAGGCAGGTGGGATTCTTATGCGTTCGAGGCTAGCCAGAGCTGCACAGTGAGACCCTGTCTCAAAAAAAAAAAAAAAAAAAAAACCCACAAAAACCAAAAAACAGCAACAACAACAAAAATACGAGGCCTTTCAAAGGAGGAGTCCACTCCGCCGATGGCCAGTGCTGGAGGTTGGGGCTGACACTAGAGGAGACCTCAGAGTAAGGCCCACCTACCTACACTCGAGGTTGAGCCATCAAGGGCCGGAGTGGCGGGTGGGGGCTTACGGTGTGTCCCGCCCCCAGGCTTTTCAGCTCCGGTCCTGACCCTGAGCCCGTCAGAGGTCTCAGAAGGAAGCCAGGTGACGGTGAAGTGTGAAGCCCACGGTGGAGCGCAGGTGGTGCGGCTGAGTGATGCTCCGCCCGGGGACCCGTCCCCGCAGGTCAGCTTCACGCTGAACGCCAGCGCTGATGATGACCAGCGACTCTTCCGTTGCTCTGCGGCCCTGAAGGTGGCTGGGCAGGAGCTGTTAAAAAACCAGACCCAGAAACTCCACGTGCTGTGTGAGTGGGGCCGCGGGGTGGTGATCGCGATCCCCTAACTTCCCCGGGTGCCCCCTGAGCTCTCCCTGACCTGTGTCCTCACACTATCATTTCCACAGATGGCCCCTGGCTGGACGAGGGGGCCTGCCCGAGGAACTGGACCTGGCTGGAGGGGTCTCAGCAGACTCTGAAATGCGAGGCCAGGGGGAACCCATCCCCCAAGGTGACCTGCAGCAGGAAAGCAGATAATGCCCGGCTACCCACTGGGGTGGTGGTCACTGTCACACGGGAGATGAGTGGTACCTACGTGTGCCAGGCCACGAGCTCTCATGGAAATGTCACCAGGGAAGTGTCCCTGACGATTTGTGAGTGTCCTGGGGTATAGGGCTGGGTGAGTGGTGGGCAGGGTGTCAGGTCTTTAATCCTTACCAATCCCTTCTGCCTCTACCACACAGACATCCCCCCCAACAATAACAACTTGGTCATCGCCATTCTGGTGATATTGCTGCTTATTGTGCTGCTTGTGGGCCTGACCATTTACCTTTACAACCGCCAGAGAAAGATCAGGAGATACGAGCTACAGAGGGCACAGGAGGAGGCCATGAAACTCAAGGCACAAGCCCCGCCTCCCTGAACCACCAGGAGCCAACACCTCCCTAGGCCCCCCTGCGGGCAGCAGCTGGTGCTGCTTTTGAACAGAAAGGTGGACAGTGTTTACCCTCACCCACCTCCTCAGGCTGTGACAACAGGATGGTGGTCTGGGGATGCACAAATCAGATCTCCTTGGCCCTGCACTTGTAGCCTCAGGACTAAGTGGAGAGACGAGCAAGATCGTGAGGGCGTGGATCTGTGACCTGGACACACCCACAGCCTTGTGGCCTTCAGCCAGGAAATGCTAACCTCATTCCCTGTTGGCCATGCTGAGGGCCCCCGCCTAAGGAAGAGTGTCTATATCCAAGAGACACAACACAAGAACATGAGACCATGCTTCCTCTGACATAGGAGCGCTGGGACATCGTCCCCAACTCTTCATGATGATGTATTTATTAATTCAGAGTTTTAACTGCTATTTATTGAGTGCCCTGCACAGACACTAAAGCAGTGAGCAGGCGAACACACAGGTCCTTGTCTGGATACTGTTGCAGGGACTGTGCACACACAGAGCCTGGAGAAGGGTTCACCTGAGGCTAGGGCCCCTCTGCTGGTCAGGACGCTCTCTCTCTAAGAGCTGCTTTTTTCATGAGTCACAAAAATACTAAGTGGACTAGCAGTGGTCCCCTGCTCACCGGCCTCTCTTGGAGTCCTGACTCCGCATCCCTGGCTCCCAGAGCCATCATGGGAGGTAACCATGGTAACCACCTCCCCACTCACGGTCATTCCCGCCATTGCTCCCCATGTCAGCCACCATACCTAAATATGGATGCCCATCCTTGACAGCTGAACAATTAAGTCTCATGCTCATGAAATTGTGGTCAATCTGCATGCCCCCACCTGGCTCCACCTCAAGGAGAAAGCCTGGAATAAAATGCTGCAACCACTTAGGAGGGTCCTGCAAGCTGGGGGTGGGGGTGGGGGGAGCCTCCCAGCTCAGAAGTCTTTCCTTTGAGTCAATAAAGTTTTCTGTTGGCCTCAGCCTTCTGTGAGTCTGCGGACAGGCATCACATCAGTCAGCTAGGGCCCTTTCTAAGCATTCCTGACTCCCCCACTTCCTCAGAGTGTTGCCTGTTACCCTAACCCTGAGTCTGCAAACTAGTTTTTTGTTTGTTTTTCCTTGGTCTTTGTTGAGACACGGTCTCTGCGTAGCCCTGGCTATCCTGGAACCTTCTATGTGGAACCGGCTGGCCTCTAACAGAGGTCCACCTGCCTGTCTCCTGAATGCTGGGATTAAAGGCCTGAGCCACCACTATTCCCACTAAAATCGATTTAATGACCTCTTGGGGCTTAAGTGAAAACTAAAGCCCAGTTCAGAAAAGTGCAATGACTTCTGATTAACTGTGGGGTCTGATGTGCCATTTTGGAGTCCAGGCTAGGCGGTGTCTTCAACAGGGCTCCTGGGCCCACTCGGGGGCGTGGCCAGGGAGCCTTATCTCCAGGGCCAGTCGAAGCTCCCTGGCCCCTGCTCCTCAGCGCGGGCTATGTGCCATGGCATCTGTCCTGTTCCCGTCGCTTTTGCTGGTGGCCGCCTATCCGAGGAGTGGGAGCCCCCAGCATGAGCGGATGCAAAGCCCTTCGGCGCCTTCCGGGACCTCAACGCCGTTCTTGGTGCGTTTAAATCCGGAGCTGGAGGCTGTGCCTCCCGGGGGCTCGGTGTGGCTTAACTGCAGCCACAGCTGCCCCCTGCCGGTGCGTACCAGCCTGCGCACTCAGCTGCGGCAGGGAAAGACACTCAATGGATCCGGTTGGGTATCTTACCAGCTACTGGATGTGAGGGCCTGGGATTCCAAGGTGCGCTGCGTCGTTACTTGCGCAGGAGAAACGCGCGAGGCCACCGCCAGGATCACCGCTTACAGTGAGGGAGACCCCGGGCTCAGGCCGGGTGGGGTGAGGGGAGAGGGTGAAGGGGTGGGGTAGTTGGCAGTTGCTTTAGGAGGTGCCTGCAGGTCTTACCCTTCTTGCCTTAGAACGGCCGAGAAGCGTGATCCTGGAGCCTCCGGTCCTAGAGGGCCACAAGTACACTCTACGTTGCTATGTGACACACGTGTTCCCCGTGGCGTATTTGGTGGTGAGCCTGAGGAGAGGTGGCCGCGTGGTTTATTTTGAAAGTCTGGAGCGCTTCAACGGTTCAGATCTGGCTAATGTCACTTTGACCTACGTGATGAAGGCAGGACCCAACGACCTCCGGCAACCACTCACCTGCCATGCACGCCTCAATCTCGACGGGCTAGTGGTGCGCAGCAGTTCTGCACCTGTTATGTTGCAGGTCCTCGGTGAGGCACCCTGCAACCTCGGGGAATTGGTACGGGAGAGGGGATGTTGCCACTCCATGAGGGCCCACAGAACAGGCGTGGGCTCCACGCTTGGAGGGCCTCAGACCTCCTCGTTCCTGACTTTCACTCCCGCTCCCAGCTTTGAGTCCAGCCTCCAAAGCGTTGGCTTCTGCCTCCATCGCAGCCCTAGTGGGGATCCTTCTGGCTGTGGGGACTGTCTACGTGCGCAGATGCCTGGCCGTGCAGACTCAGTTATAGGCGGCTCTTCAATGCCTGACAAGAGAGAGGAAAAAGAAGCCCAGAGCAACTAGTTCAGATACTCCTAATGATCAATAAAGCCTTCTTCCTCGGGCTCTGTCCAACGGTTCTTGGAGAAAGTGGTTTCCTTTTTAGGGGACCCTGCTTTCTCCAATTTTCTTGTTTAGGGCCTCAAGACTTGCAGCTCAGGGGTAGTACGTTTGCCTGACCTTGGTTTCAACACCCGGGACTGGAGGAAACAACACCTCGTGTGTCTCGGGGCAGCTGAAGTTTCTCCTTCAAGAGCAGTTTGGGGTCCCCGAACCCGAGTTCCTCTCCGCAGTGTTTTGCTGGATTTATCCCTGCGGGGTAGAAGGGCAAAACTGGCCTCCCTCCAGGCCCTGGGATGGGGGAGGGCTGGCTCTTGGTATGGCTCTTCCTGATTGGCTCCGCGGATACACACCACAGCTCTGATTGGAAGGTAAGTTTCCCTTCTCCTACCTCCTTTTCCACTACAGATCTTGCGCGTTACTGAGGCCAGTGGGTGGAGCTAGACCCGGTCCCCGGGGTTACGATTAATGAAGGGGGAGGGGTAAACACAAGAATTGGGCGGGGCCTCCTGCTCGGATTAGAGGAAGCAGATACCCAGATAGGAAATCTAGCATAGCAACAAGTTAGAGATGATCGCTCAGGCCACATGGGCTGTCACAGACTTCCATCCGGGCAACGTGTTTGTTGTCATCGAGCCAGGTATGCATGTGGGGAGGGGTGTCAAAGCTTGGAGACATATGCGAGGTCACAAGTGTCCCCAGTTGATCTTCTGGTGCAGTTTGGATTGCAGAAACTCACTAGTTATTCAGCAAAGGCTGCGGCGCCCAAGGCGAGGAACGCGCAGATGCTCTCCCGAGAGACTTGGTTCACAACAGCATTGTAGACACATTCCCGCTGCACGCTGGGTAAATACAGATCGGGTGCCGGAGCCGACTCTAATTTAGACGCCCGCGAACACTGCGCACACGCACACGTGTCTGCGACTCGCGGGCACTTGATCCCCCCCCCTTCGCCGCGTGCGCGGAGGAGGTCTTAGGGGCGTGGCTCCCATTCTCAATCTGCTAGAGGTCAAAACTAAGCATCAGTTGAGGGAGGCATCCCCACACCCTCCTCTTAAAACCACCTTTTCGGCATACTACGACTCCCTAAGATTTTACAAGCGACCTCACCATCCACCTGCTCCAAGGGGCGCTGGTGGGAGGGGCCGAAGATGGGCGTGGCTTGGAGCCCTAGCGCGTTATCCCAGAATCTACACCTAGGATGGTGGAGTTTGGGCAGGGCCTCGCAGCATCCCTCCCTCCCTTCACCACAGATGACGCGGGAGAGCGTGGTCGCCCCCAGAAGGCTTTAGACCATTAGGCCGACCTCCACGTAGACCCCTCCTCTCACGGGGGACCGCTCTTGCCTGGTCAGATCGTCTGCACTAAGACCGGGAGCAGCCCAGTGCGTGCTCGCCTCCCGCCAGTTCGCCCCCCATCACCGCCTCTACCACCGCCCCCTCCTTGGAAACCAAGTTACCAACGTTTAAACCAATCCCTGGGCGCAACTCTGCCACCCCCACACTCCACCCGCTGCGCTGCGCCGTCCTCCCAGCCCGGCTCTCCATCACTCGCGCTCCCCTCTCCTCCTGCGTTCTCCCCTCCCCGGCAGCGGCGGCAATGCCGGGGCCTTCGCCAGGGCTGAGCCGAGCGCTCCTCGGCCTCTGGGCTGCCCTGAGCCTGGGGATCCTCGGCATCTCAGGTAAGAAGAGCCCGCCCGCGGAGCCAGGTGGACAAGGCGGGGGAGGTTTTGAAGGACCAGAGAGGGCGGCCCGGGTGTCCCCTCCAGGCTCCGCCCTCTTCTTGCTTCCCACGCTTCTGCCACCACCTGGAGCCCGGGGCTTCTCCCCATCCCTCCTCCACCCCAACACACCTCGATCTTTCAGACCTGAACCCAGCACCTTTTATGGATTCGGGGTTTTGCACCCAACCCCGCTCAGGAGAGACACTGTGGCTTTCCTATTTCTTTCCTGCTCTGTCGTGCCCTATGGTTCACGGACTGGCATCATCCCTATTCGTGATCCTCAAAGACCCCCATCTCTTCAACTGTTATGACTCAGAGGCCCTGTTCCCCCTCCACCTGTAGCCCTGGCAACCGGCTTTCTGGGTCTTTTCCCGCGGTTCCTTCCCAGAGTCCAGCCTTGAGGCTGTCTGTCCAAGTTACTCAAGTTTGGGGACAGTCTCCTTCAAGCCTTTGACTCAGTCTCATCTCTACTTTGCTTTCGCCCCCAGCCTCAGTGTGTCTCCCCACCCCCATTTACTGACAATGTGCCAGAGTCTTGAGACTCACTTGGTTCCCCATCCCCCCACTGGAGTCTCCTCCTCCCCACTATTGACGTGTGCATCCGAGACCCCATTCTCCCCGCACCGAGTTTCCCCATCTCTGCCTTAGAAAGCAAGACGCCCCTCTGAGAGTGTGCCAGCCTCGAAGCTTGAGTGGGATGCGGGACTCCCGTGCTATTTCTTGGCGGTGGCCTCTCCTCGTCCTTGCAGAGACCCCTGATTTGGGATATAGGGGCGCTAAGATTTCAGAGAGGGGGTCCCCAGGCTGAGCCCGCGTTTTCCCGGGCAGCGGTCGCGCTCGAACCTTTCTGGGCGGACCTTCAGCCCCGCATGGCGCTCGTGGAGCGCGGGGGCTCGCTGTGGCTCAACTGCAGCACGAACTGTCCGCGGCCGGAGCGCGGTGGCCTGGAGACCTCGCTGCGCCGGAACGGGACCCAGAGGGGTCTGCGCTGGCTGGCTCGACAGCTGGTGGACATCCGAGAGCCAGAGACGCAACCCGTCTGCTTCTTCCGCTGCGCGCGCCGCACACTACAAGCGCGTGGGCTCATTCGAACTTTCCGTGAGTTGTGGGTGGGCACGCCCCTTAGGTCCCTGGACCTCCCCTTCAAGCTCCGCCCACCGGCCCGCACGCCCTCCTTCCCACCCGCAACCCGGTGAGCGCTACAGCTCAATTGAGCGGAAGTTTTGGTCCCTTGCAGAGCGGCCGGATCGGGTAGAGCTAATGCCGCTACCTCCTTGGCAACCCGTGGGCGAGAACTTCACCTTGAGCTGCAGGGTTCCGGGAGCGGGACCCCGAGCGAGCCTCACGTTGACTCTGCTGCGGGGCACCCAGGAGCTGACCCGCCGCAGTTTCGTGGGCGAGCCACCCCGAGCGCGCGGCGCGATGCTCACCGCCACGGTCCTGGCGCGCAGGGAGGACCACGGGGTCAATTTCTCATGCCTCGCGGAGCTGGACCTGAGGCCACACGGCTTGGGACTCTTTGCAAACAGCTCCGCCCTCAGACAGCTCCGCACCTTTGGTGAGCGTGGACCCTGACTGACAAGTTTTAAAGAAGTTTAGGGGCAGCCAGGTGTAGTGGCGCACGCCTTTATGCACACGCCACGGTGCAAGTGTGGAAGTTAAAGAACAACTTTAGTGGGAGTTGGTTCTCTTCTTCCGCCCCATGTGGGACCGAGGGATCGAATCAGGTCCTCAGGCTTGGCGGCAAGCGCCTGTTTCCGCTGAGCCATATCGCCGGCCCTTTTGTATTTTTATGATGAAACCATGTAAATTGCTTGGCCCACATTGAATGTTTAATACGTAAACTCAAGCGCCGGTTCTTTGTCTCCCCCAGCCCTGCCTCCAGTTCCCCCGAGCCTGGTTGCTCCCCGAATCTTAGAAGTGGGCTCAGAAAGGCCGGTGAGCTGCACTTTGGATGGGCTGTTTCCTGCCCCAGAAGCCGGGGTTTACCTCTCGCTGGGAGATCAGAGGCTGCAACCTGCTGTGACCTTCGATGGCGACAGCCTCGTGGCCACTGCCATAGCTACGCCAAGCGCAGAGCAGGAAGGCACCAGACAGCTGATGTGCAGCGTGACTCTCGGGGGCGAAAGCAGGGAGACCCAGGAAAATCTGACTGTCTACAGTAAGGGGATCGAGGGGGGGGCTTCAGTGGCCGGGTCTGGGTCCTGAGTCTCACGAAGGCGGAGCCTGTAAAGTGGGCGGGGCCTCCACACCCGAACAGGGCGGGAGAGTTCCAGGGCAGGAGCAGCAGGAAGCTGGAAATGAATAGATGAGGGGGGGGGGCTTGAGTTAACTGAGGGGTCAGTGGCCAGTGAACCCCACCCCAATGCTCCACCCTCCAGGTTTCCCCGCTTCTCTTCTGACTTTGAGTGAGCCAGAAGCCCCTGAGGGCAAGGTGGTGACCATAAGCTGCTGGGCTGGGGCTCGAGCCCTTGTCACCCTGGAGGGAATTTCAGCTGTGGTCCCGGGACAACCCGCTGAGCTCCAGTTAAATGTCACGGAGAATGACGACAAGCGAGGCTTCTTCTGCGACGCCGCCCTTGAAGTGGACGGGGAGACCCTAAGAAAGAACCAGAGCGCTGAGCTTCGTGTTCTGTGTGAGTGGGTGCTCACCTATCTTTGTGACCTCCAAGGACCGCATCTCTATGGCGCCATCTTTAACCTTACTCCATTTCCTCTGCCCACGCCTGCAGATTCACCCCGGCTGGATGACTCGGGTTGTCCCAGGAGCTGGACATGGCCCGAGGGCCCAGAGCAGACCCTTCACTGCGAGGCCCGCGGAAACCCAGAGCCCTCGGTGCACTGTGCGAGGCCTGAGGGCGGGGCGGTGCTGGCGCTGGGCCTGCTGGGCCCAGTGACTCGCTCCCTGGCAGGCACTTACCGCTGTACGGCAGTCAATGGCCAAGGCCAGGCGGTCAAGGACGTGACCCTGACTGTGGAGTGTGAGTAGGGAGAGGTGGGCATGCGCATCTCTTTCCGGTCTCAGAGTTTGGGAGGTTGGCCTACAAAGAGGCCGGGCTCCAGCAGGAATTGGGAAAACATTGTAGGGTGTTCATAAACTTGGTGGTGGTGCCTGGGCACAGCCTGGCAAGAAGAGGCAGTCAAAACAGTGTACCTGGGAAGGTCTCACGGGCGCTTTGTGGGAATCAGTCAGAAGGACCCGGAGACCTCAGGAAAGGGCAACTGAGTCTGTCTTCAGAACCCATGTAAAGGTGGAAGGAGAGACCAAGCTCCGATCTCCACACATGCGCTGGGTAGTGCTTCCCCACACAAGTATCACACAGAGTAAATAAGTAAATAAAACGGCCCAGGCAGAACTAAGAGGTGGGCACTTCTTTAATCCCAGCACTCAGGAGGCAGAGAAACAAGCAGATCACTGTGAGTTCCAGGCCAGCCTGGTCTACAGAGCAAGATCCAGAACAGCCAGGACTACACAAAGAAACCCTGTCTTCAAGAACCAAAGAGAGATCTCCCATGCAGGATATAGCTTGCCACACGCTTTCTGGAAGCAGAAGATAGAAAGAAGGTCATTAGGGGAATCAGATGGGTTTCTAAATCCAAACTTGGGCCTGGGGCTGCAGTTCAGTAGGTAGGTGGTTTTCTTAGCATGTTTGAAGCCTGGTCACACCTTCTGCATGGCAGAAACCAGGCACAGTTAAAGCCCAGAGCTTGGGAGTAGGAGGCAGGAGGATCAGGAGTTCAGTATAGTCCTCTGTTACATGATGAGTTCAAGGCCAGCCTGGGCTATAGGACATCCTGCCTTAAAAAACAAAATCAGGGGCTGGAGAGATGGCTCAGAGGTTAAGAGCACTGACTGCTCTTCCAGAGGTCCTGAGTTCAAGTCCCAGCAACCACATGGTGGCTCACAGCCATCTGTAACGAGATCTGGTGCCCTCTTCTGCATACATAATAAATAAATTAATTAATTAAAAAAAAAAAACAAAATCTGTTCCAGATGCCCCAGCGCTGGACAGTGTAGGCTGCCCAGAACATATTACGTGGCTGGAGGGAACAGAAGCATCGCTTAGCTGTGTGGCCCACGGGGTTCCACCGCCTAGCGTGAGTTGCGTGCGCTCTGGGAAGGAGGAGGTCATGGAAGGGCCGCTGCTTGTGGCCCGAGAGCACGCCGGCATTTACCGATGCGAAGCCATCAACGCCAGAGGATCGGCTGCCAAAAACGTGGCTGTCACGGTGGAATGTGAGTAGCGGTGGCTGGAGGGAAGCCCACACGGGTATCCTCCGTCCTCAGTGTGAACTCCTATTTCCCTGCTTCCTAGATGGTCCCAGTTTTGAGGAGCTGAGC